AGAAACCTTTAGCAGAACCAGGATCAGGACAAGAGGACCATCTGCTTCCACCAGCTCTATATATTGTATATATTTTATATATTGGTAATGGTTAGGGTCAGAATATATAAATGAATGAAAAATGAATGGAAGTCATTGCAAAGTTCCCATAAAGATAGAAAGACAAACGTGTGTGTGCATGTTTTGCAGTGTGTGTGTTGCTGTGTGTGTGTGTGTGTTGTTTCACTTCTGTTTTCGTCTGCTTGTGAAACTCTGTCGACAGTTCACGATGCTCAAATGAAGTTTCACAGAACGTTTGTCTCTGATGATCCACAACACCTGTATCCAGTCCAGTCCTGCTGCCAGGTACCCACCTGTCTCTCACAGCCCTCAGTCTGAGCCAGCAGAAACTGAGCCCATGACAGTCTGAGGCTGTGGTTCTGGATGCTTCCTCTGGGTCAGGAGTAAACATTTGCCTGAAGATCTTGGAGTCTCCTTCTTGAGCGATGGTAGGACCGGATCACAGGATTAGAGTGACACGTTGACCAATGGACTAGAGCCTTGGAGGGATTTTCTTTCAGTTCCAGTTCCCCTTGTTTTACATAATCGGAATAAGTTCTGTTGGACCAACTGGACCCAATGTCCAGGTAGATCTGTTCTCACCTACTCAGCTCTGGAGCCAGGAGGTCCAGACCAGGTGTGAACCAGCCCGTTGGTGCTGAGCAGCTATCATGTCTGAGCCAATTAGAGATACCTGAAGCAGAACTCTGAAGGTCTGACTTCAGTCATCTTCACTGCAGGTACTGACCACCAACCCAGGGTCACGATGAGTGGCACCGGCCAGTCTCCTGACAATTTCAGGGCCAACACTGCTGCTCCTGACAGGCTTGAGCCAGTTCAGGACAGTCCACAAGAAGACCTGTGGAGAATGAAGATTCTGGATCTACTGACCCGTCTAGTACAGGTCCAGGAGGAGGTTGCCAAACATCAGGTCCAGGTGGTTCAACAGCTTGTTCTACTGGGAACTCAGGTGAGTCAAACATGTAGCTCACTCTCAGGACTTGAGTTTCATTTAGTTTACTTGTCTCCAGGAAACTGGTCAAGTGTGATCCACTCCATCCTGGTCTAGTTGAGGGTAGTCCTGAGGTCTCGGGTCTCATCAACCTGCTGATCCCATGATATGAACCATGTAAAGAGGATCAGAATAATCCTGATCAGCATCAACTGAACTTATCTACGTGGTCTTGTGTTCTCAGGGCTCCCAGCAGATCCAGAACCTGCAGAACCTGGCTCGACACCAGAGTCTGCTGGTTGAAAACCATCAGGCCTTGCTGCTTCAGACCTCACGCATCGCCACTGAGCTGCAGGAAGTCAAGAAGAAAGCTGCATCTCCATTCTAGTGAGGTCTTGCAGGCCCAGACCAGACCCCGAGCAGCTTAAAGTCCAGTTCTAGACCAAGCATTTGATTCAGATGTCCATCAGAATCTGCCAAACATCTTCCTCATTATAACATTCACATGGCTGTAATGTTGCTTTCTGCCTTTAAATAAAGTTTGTTTTGAATCTTATTGCTGTGACTGATCGTTTCTGAAGATCTCTGGTTGTTTTCATGAATTTAAAGTCAGCAGCAGAATCAATCAGATCGATCAGAACCAATAATCTCCACGAGGAGAGCGAGCCCAGAAACATCTGAATCAATAAGAGTCCACCTCAGGCTGGCAGGTCAGAAGCAGAACCACCTCTGCTTCCTGCCAACCTGCACAAGTCTTCAAACAAACAAACACACAAACAAATAACAAACAAACAAAGTCTACAGGACAGTAAGGACTGCAAGAATGCATTTGTAAAACAGCTTGAGTTTTATTTTACATCATGACCAGTTTAGTTCTTGTTCTACTTGATTTTATTTAGTTTAGTTTATTTATTTTATTTTGCTCATTTTTATTTGGCTTGTTTGTTTTGCTTTTATCTAGTTCTTTTGGTACCAAACAGAAGAGTCTGCTCTGTGTGGAGTTCATGACTCGCTTCTGTGATGCCTCTGCTAATTCACAGCTGCAGGTGCACCTGTCTGTCTCCACATCATAGAAAAGCACCAGAGAGACAGACAGGTGCATCTGTCTGTCAGACGTTGCGTAGTTAGAGCTGCTGTTGGCCCACAGGTTGTAGATTGTTGTACAACCCCTCCCTCCACGAGAACGAAACAGTGTGCCTCCAGACCAACGTTCTTACTGTAACAAGGAAAAAAAACTTCCTTCTCGAGTTTTCATGGACACCTGTCTGTCTGATCCCAGGTGTGCTCTGTGTTCAGACCTGGTTGGGTTAGTCTATGCTCAGGTGAGCTCAGGTGTGTGCCACCTGTGCCTGCTCAGGTATGGGTTATGTTTTGATGCACTGACATTTTCACTGTCTTTTTGTTTTAGAATCTCCTGGGCCTCCATCAATTAGTTTGAACTCAAAGTTCCTTCAGAACCAATCAGAAGTAGTTCTGGCTGCTGGCACTGCCTTGAGGCTCGGTTGCCATGGCAACAAATCAGTCCACTGGTCCAGCACTGCTATTCTTCCGATGTACAAGGACAAACATTTGAACTCACGGCAGGTGAGCACAGCAGAGCCCAGACATACAGGCACTTACCTGTGCAGTTACACCAATCAGAGTCACCTGAACACCTGGATCCACCTGTACATTAAAGGTAAAAACACCTGAGGCTCACATGTTGACAGAGATTATTGTGCTTCTCGTTATCATGCCCAAAAATAACCTCCAGTTTCCCATAATGCACCACTGCCAGACCCAGGTGACCTGTCCAAAGTGTTTGTCACACCTCGTCACACACCCATCCTCAAAGAGGGTGATGACTTCCTGTTCAGGTGTCTTCTGACTGACCCGTCTGTCACGAACCTCACGGTCCAATCAGAGGACAAGGAAAGAGGCCTGCCGCCAGGTATGAACATCACCTTTGACCATCGACGAGGAGCTCTGATCCAAAATCTGAGGAGGGCCTTCAAAGGCCGATACATGTGTTCAGGTTGGAGAAACGGACAAGAGTTCAGGTCCAAACCTGTTGACCTCCAAATTCTTCCCAGTAAGATACCTGTTCACCTGTCAGTACACCTGTCTGGCTGTACAACCAGTCCTTCACTTTTCCTGGTCTTTCTTTCTCCCTGTCTGCAGGGCTACATCACCCCCCCTCCTTGTCCGTCACTCAGGTTGAAGTTGTCCGTCTGCAAGGAGAGCGGTTTGAAGTCACCTGTCAGGCCAGTAACCCCTCCCACTCT